GCCTTTTTTTCCCCCCAAATTCCCTGATTTTCCCGGGTTTTTTTCCCTAAAATTTCTTGATTTTCCCATTTTTCTCCCAAAAATTCCCTGATTTTCCCGGGTTTTTTCCCAAAAATTCCGTGACTTTCCCAACTTTTCTTCCCCTAAAATTCCCTGATTTTCCCAGTTTTTTTCCCCGAAAATTCCCTGATTTTCCCGGGTTTTTTCCCTAAAATTTCTTGATTTTCCCAGTTTTTTTTCTCCCAAAAATTCCCTGACTTTCCCAACTTTTCTTCCCCTAAAATTCCCTGATTTTCCCAGTTTTTTTCCCTAAAATTCCCTGATTTTCCTGGGTTTTTTCCCCGAAAATTCCCTGATTTTCCCGGGTTTTTTCCCCTAAAATTTCTTGATTTTCCCAGTTTTTTCCCCTAAAATTCCCTGATTTTCCTGCCTTTTTTTCCCCCCAAATTCCCTGATTTTACCAGGTTTTTTCCCTAAAATTCCCTGATTTTCCCGGGTTTTTTCCCTAAAATTTCTTGATTTTCCCAGTTTTTTTCTCCCAAAAATTCCCTGATTTTCCTGGGTTTTTTCCCTAAAATTCCCTGATTTTCCCGCCTTTTTTCCCCCCAAAATTCCCTGACTTTCTCAGGTTTTTTCCCTAAAATTTCTTGATTTTCCCGGGTTTTTTCCCTAAAATTTCTTGATTTTCCCAGTTTTTTTCCCCGAAAATTCCCTGATTTTCCCAGTTTTTTTCCCTAAAATTTCTTGATTTTCCCAACTTTTCTTCCCTTAAAATTCCCCCATTTTCCTGGCTTTTTTCCCTAAAATTCCCTGATTTTACCAGGTTTTTTCCCTAAAATTCCCTGATTTTCCCGGGTTTTTTCCCTAAAATTTCTTGATTTTCCCAGTTTTTTTCTCCCAAAAATTCCCTGATTTTCCCGGGTTTTTTCCCTAAAATTTCTTGACTTTCCCAGTTTTTTTCTCACAAAAATTCCCTGACTTTCCCAACTTTTCTTCCTCTAAAATTCCCTGATTTTCCTGCCTTTTCTTCCCCTAAAATTCCCTGATTTTCCCAACTTTTCTTCCCTTAAAATTCTCTCATTTTCCTGGCTTTTTTCCCTAAAATTCCCTGATTTTCTTGCCTTTTTTTCCCCCCAAATTCCCTGATTTTCCCAGTTTTTTTCCCTAAAATTCCGTGATTTTCCTGGTTTTTCCCCCTAAAATTCCCTGATTTTCCCAACTATTCTTCCCTTAAAATTCCCTGATTTTCCCAACTATTCTTCCCCTAAAATTCCCTGACTTTCCCAACTTTTCCCCCTACAATTCCCTGCTTTTCCCTGCTTTTTTTCCCTTCCCAATCTCCCCCTTGTTTCCCCAGGGGTGGCCCTGCTGGCCAACGCTCCCGAGAGAATTCCCGAGCGGAAGAGGCGCCCCCGGGATGGAATTCCCGCCCGAGCCGCTTCCCGAGGATCCAAACCCCGGCTCGGCTCCGGCTCCGGCTCCGGCTCCGGCTCCGGCTCCCAGCGGGAGGAGCAGCTGGCCAGCCAGAGGGTGAGAGGAGATGAAATTCCCAAACTTTTATCCCAGGGAATTCCCTCCTGGGAATCCCGGGATGCTCTGGGCGGGGGAGGGGCCGTCGAATCGTCCCATTCCCGCCCAAAATTCCAAAGGATTCCGCTTTCCCTGGAGCGGGCGGAGCCGACCGGGACTTGGGGCGTTCCCAGGGATGGGAATTCTCTGGGAATTCCAGCCCATTCCTTCCCAAATATTCCAAGGGCAGGGAATTCCAGCCCATTCCTTCCCAAATATTCCAAGGGCAGGGAATTCCAGCCCATTCCCACCCAAATTCCAAGGGCAGGGAATTCCAGCCCATTCCTTCCCAAAAATTCCAAGGGCAGGGAATTCCAGCCCAGTTCCTCCGACGTTCCCTGTGGGATTTGGGTGGCAAAGGAGCAGCTTTTCCATCTTTTTATTCTCATCCTTGGAGCAATTTTGGGAATTTTTTTTTCCCTCAGGAGCAATTTTGGGAATTCAAATCCCGTTTTTTCCCCCCTCAGGACCAATTTTGGGAATACAAATCCCATTTTTTTTCCCCTCAGGAGCAATTTTGGGAATCCAAATCCCATTTTTTTTTCCCTCAGGACCAATTTTAGGAATTCAAATCTCATTTTTCCCCCCTCAGGAGCAATTTTTGGGAATTTTTTTTCCCTCAGGAGCAATTTTAGGAATTCAAATCCCATTTTTTTTCCCCTCAGGACCAATTTTGGGAATTCAAATCCCATTTTTCCCCCTTCAGGAGCAATTTTAGGAATCCAAATCCCGTTTTTCCCCCCTCAGGAGCAATTTTGGGAATTTTTTTCCCCCCTCAGGAGCAATTTTGGGAATCCAAATCCCATTTTTCCCCCCTCAGGAGCAATTTTAGGAATCCAAATCCCATTTTTCCCCCCTCAGGAGCAATTTTAGGAATTCAAATCCCATTTTTTTTCCCCTCAGGAGCAATTTTGGGAATTTTTTTTCCCCTCAGGATCAATTTTGGGACTCCAAATCCGGTTTTTTCCCCCCTCAGGAGCGGCTGAGCCAGGTGCTGAAGGATCTGGAGGAGGATCGCGCTCCGGTGGTGAAGTTGGGAGACGCCAGCATCGCCGCCCCCTTCACCTCCAAACTCTCCTCCATCCAGTGCAGTGAGGCCCAGTTTTCCCTAGTTTTCCTTCACAGTTTTCCCTATTTTTCCCTCCCCTTTATTCCCATTTTTTTCCCTATTTTCCCCTCATTTTTATTCCCATTTTTCCCTATTTTTCCCTCAACTTTATTCCCATTTTTCCCTATTTTTCCCTCCCCATTTTTCCCTATTTTTCCCTCACGTTTATTCCTATTTTTTTCCCTCACTTTTATTCCCATTTTTTCCCTATTTTTCCCTCCCCTTTATTCCCTATTTTTCCCTCCCCTTTATTCCCATTTTTTCCCAATTTTTCCCTCACCTTTATTCCCTATTTTTCCATCACCTTTATTCCCATTTTTCCCTCACCTTTATTCCCTATTTTCCCCTCACCTTTATTCCCATTTTTCCCTATTTTCCCTCACCTTCATTCCCTATTTTTCTCTCCCCTTTATTCCCATTTTTTCCCTATTTTTCCCTCCCCATTTTTCCCTATTTTTCCCTCACGTTTATTCCCTATTTCCCCCTCACTTTTATTCCCATTTTTCCCTATTTTTCCCTCCCCTTTATTCCCTATTTTTCCCTCACCTTTATTCCCATTTTTTTCCCTATTTTCCCCTCCCTTTTATTCCCATTTTTCCCTATTTTCCCCTCACCTTTATTCCCTATTTTTCCCTCAACTTTATTCCCATTTTTTCCCTATTTCTCCTTCACCTTTATTCCCATTTTTCCCTATTTTTCTCTCATGTGCTCAAGCAGGGCCGCTGCACTCTGGTGACGCCGTTGGTTCCCTCAGCCCCAAACCCCCTTTCCCTCCCCTTTATTCCCATTTTCCCTCACCTTTATTCCCATTTTCCCCCTTTCCCTCCCCTTTATTCCCATTTTCCCCCTTTTCCTCACCTCTATTCCCATTTTTCCTCTGATTTTGCCCTCAGTCTGCCCCGTGCTCAAGCAGGGCCGCTGCACTCTGGTGACGCCATTGGCTCCCTCAGCCCCAAATCCCCTTTCCCTCCCCTTTATTACCCTTTCCCTCCCCTTTATTCCCATTTTCCCCTGTTTCCCTCACCTCTATTCCCATTTCCCTCACCTTTATTCCCATTTTCCCCCTTTTCCTCACCTTTATTCCCATTTTTCCTCTGTTTTTCCCCTCAGTCTGCCCCGTGCTCAAGCAGGGCCGCTGCACTCTGGTGACGCCATTGGCTCCCTCAGCCCCAAACCCCCTTTCCCTCCCCTTTATTCCCATTTTCCCTATTTCCCTTCCCTTTATTCCCCTTTCCCTCCCCTTTATTTCCTTTTCCTCACCTTTATTCCCATTTTTTCTCTGATTTTCCCCTCAGTCTGCCCCGTGCTCAAGCAGGGCCGCTGCACTCTGGTGACGCTGCTGGCTCCCTCAGCCCCAAACCCCCTTTCCCTCCCCTTTATTCCCATTTTCCCCCTTTTCCTCACCTCTATTCCCATTTTCCCCATTTCCCTCCCCTTTATTCCCA